CCTGATTGGGTATAATATCATTCAGAAAATGTTCATTTTATAACCCAGTACTGGATTAAATAGCTTTATTCCCAAGCATTAATTTAGAAATGGTCCCTTTGTTTGAGATGCAAATTTTATTAAATGTCATCCTTATTATCACACTCATGGTCTTTTATATGCAGCACAGTTCAGTGATGTCCTATCCTAAAATCTTTATTCGACATTTAGTTCAATGTAGTTATCTAAAGCAAACTGATTAAACATACTATTTTAGGTGAAACAAACGTTTTCCCTTTTTGCAGTTTATATAAAATATTTTGGAAATAAAAAGCGACGTTTTACAGAAAATGATATGAATATACTTATTCTATGTCGTGCAGCGACCCATTCAAGTGAAAATAAAAAAAGTAAAATACTCCCATGAAAACGCATCTTCCACATCAGCCGTGTAAATCATTACGAATAAACTTCCTAAGCATTTCTTAGTGTTTAAGTTTAATCTTGGGGCAAATTAGTAAATTATTTTTGCATTAAAAAATATTGTGTGATGGCCATTTTATTTCAGGCAGAGGCGCTGTTTCCCAATCTAACTTACGGGACAATAGTGACATCTCGATCGCCACCCCAGTAAAATTTTAAATAAGAGGAAGAGAACGGAAAACGAGCAGCTCCTGGTGAATTTGGATTTCAAGGATTTCCAGACACTGTACTTGCATTTTCGGGGGAGATTTAACTGACGCCTACCTCTTCTTTAAAGCCCACTTGTTTCAAATTGCTTAAGAAAAGAAAGGTCGTAGTAAGAATGAAGGGTTTTGTCTGCTTTGGACACTGGAGAAGGTATGTGCTGATATTCATTCTCCTCGCTTCCAATATAAAGTGCACTGCAGCTGTGACACACTACTCTGTTCCCGAGGAACTGGAAGAAAGCTCTGTTGTAGCAAATCTAGCCGGGGATTTGGGAATAGATGTGAAGACACTGGTCGAACGGAAAATGCGTCTAGAGATCATTGCAAATAGAAAATATCTGGACGTGAACAAAGAAACAGGGGAGCTGTACATTGTTGAACGAATTGACAGAGAATCTCTCTGTCCCGCTAAGACGTCATGTTATCTGAAAATGGAGGCAATAATCGAAAATCCCAAAAGAATTTTTTACATAGAATTAGAGATAATGGACATAAACGATAACGCGCCCCACTTCCGAAGAGACACCATAGATTTAGACATTTCAGAAGGGACAGAGGCTGGAGAGCGTTTTTCAGTGAGCAACGCAGTTGATCCAGATGTTGGATCGAACTCCGTAAAAGCCTACCACTTGAGTGAGAGTGATTATTTCACTATCGAAATTCAAACAGGAAGAGATGGATCAAAATTTGCTGATTTGATCCTTACAAAAAAACTAAATCGAGAAGAACGCGCTGCTCATAATTTAATTCTTACGGCCGTAGATGGCGGTATACCGCCTAGTTCAGGAACTGCTACTGTTTTTGTTCACGTTTTAGATACAAATGACAACGCCCCTAAATTTGAAGAAGACAGTTATCAGGTTAGTGTACTGGAGAATTCTCCAGTTGGAAGTATTGTTATTCATCTTAATGCGACAGATTTAGATGAAGGCTTAAATTCAGAAATAGTATATTCATATAGTCTGTATACATCGGAAAAAACACAGGAAACCTTTAATCTAAACCCTACGACGGGTGAGATTACTGTAAAGGGGGTGTTAAATTATGAAGATTTCAGGATTTATGATATGGAAGTTATAGCTGCTGATAAAGGGGTTGGTCCATTATCAGGCCAATGCACCATAAAGATTCTTGTAGAAGACATGAATGATAATCATCCACAAATTTCTATCAAGTCATTTCAAACTCCAGTCACTGAAAACATTGAAATGGACACAGTGATAGCTGTAGTTAGTGTCAGTGATAAAGATTCAGGTGATAATGGAATAGTTGATCTTCATGTTCCAGATAATATGCCTTTCAAACTGAGGGAGTCCTCTGATAACTATTATGAATTACTAGTGTCGGAGCCATTAGACCGTGAGAAGGTGTCAGAATATGACATCACTTTCACTGTGACAGACA